ATGGAAGTGCCGCGGCTCCTGTTTCCTTGCCCAAGGAAGTCTTTGACGCTGCCAGAATTGCCATTCCGGCCACTCCTTATGATTTTACATTGGGTATGTGAATGAGAACGAATGATTCTTTATTAAGGAGTTTGTTATGTGGGATGAATGGTGTCGTAGCGATGTGTGCTTCGATGAATGAATGAATGAATAACATTGTGTCATGCTTCTTTATTTCGATGCAAAGTTTTTCAAATCGCGTTCTCACTTTTCTGTTTCCGATTATGATTCGTTCTTCCCACAATTTGCAGAAAAAGAAATTCTCCAGAAGAAGGCAACTGCTACTGACGAGTCGTCATAATCATCATGGAAAATACAAATGGACCTGCGGGGTGCAAAGCTGATGCATGACGAATGAAATTAAGGGAGGGGTCCGAGCGTAGGGATTGCCCGCAGTTGGAAATGATGCTTCTTTGCAGCTTCTCTTCTCCTCATCGACGCAGCACTACCAGGTACCGGTAGCAATAAAACACATGTATAGAAAAACTTGTAGAGTAGTATCTTTTGAAAATCACTTGCGGATATCTATTGTATTTGGGAAACATTCGACAATATATTGTGTATCCTTTTCTTACTAGTTTACTGTCCATAGATATACGGTATATATATATATAAGAAGCAAAAATGATTCTCAGTTGGTTGTAATCTGAAAATCTCTTTCTACTGCTTCTGAAAAGGCGTTGGCATTCTCTTCTTTCTTGAGCATGTCACGGGCATTGAACTCGGACAATAGATAGTCTACCACATCCTTGGCACCATAACCCCAATCTCCATTTTCATCTTGTTTCAAAAACCGACGGCACTCGTTGACATTGTCACCAAGAGTTATCAGCATTTCTTCGGTGTATCCTTCTTTATTATTGACCTGGGGCATACCCACATTGGCACAGAGGGCATTGCACAAGCATTTGCGGCCCCGAGTGGCTTCCACTTCACCGCCTTTTTTCAAATAAGCGTCCACCGGTTCGGAGGCACATCGAAAGCCCA